AATGAGACAGGAAGATCATCACAGTGATCTACACTGCAGCCCGGCAAGGTAGGCCAGCATTATGATCTAAGTTTTGCACACACAGGGACTCGCAATCTACACAACTGCCTGGCAAGGTAGGCCATTATGATCTAAGTGCACAAATAGGGGACTCGCCTTGCAAGTTGGGTGGTCCCCAGAAGAGATTTCAGTGGAAGATCATCACAGCGATCTACACCACAGCCCAGCAAGGTAAGCCAGCATTATGATTTAAGTTTTGCACACACGGGGACTCGCGATCTTCACGACAACCTGGCAAGGGGGGCCAGCATCACGATCTAAGTTTTGCACTTGCGGGTACTCACGATCTACACAACAGCCCGACAAGGTAGGCCAGCATTACGATCTACGTTTTGCACACACGGGGACTCGCGATCTACACAACAGCCCAGCAAGGGAGGCCAGCATTACAACCTGAGTTGTGCACATGGGGGGGACGCACCTTGCAAGTTGGGTGGTCCCCAGAAGAGATCTCAACGGGATCAGAGCTCCTCCTTCTGAGCCCCTATTCCAGATTCCACAGAAAACTCCTCGGCTTTGGAGGTCGCTTGGGCTCTTTCAAACCAAGGTTTGCATTAAAATACCGCGGCACCAAAGCCGTTGTGGTCTCCAAGTCCAAAATGTGCAGGAGAGCCCCCCGAAAGACGGGAGAGAGCCTGCTGGCACACAGAGAGACAGAGAGAGACTGGAAGATCCTTCCTTCCACGGCCTGCTCACGGTCAACGTCGCCAATCGCCTGGATCCTACCCTCCCCCAGCCGCTTGTGTTTATTTAATGCCCCGTCTGTCTCCCTGCCCTGAGTCACGGCCATGACGCCAGCTGCACCCGGAAAGGAGGCTAAGGTTACTCTCTGCATCAAGCCAGGATTCGAATGGGAAGGATCAGCATTTTCCGCTTAGGGAAGTCGGAGGTGTCGAACTCTCAAGGCCGATGGAGAGGCCCGGTCCTGGCCAGAAGACGCGACCTGCCGCTCAGACCCCCGTCTCTCTTAGCCTCCCTGAATCTCGCGTCTGACGAAGGGACCTCAAGAGTCTTCGAAGAGGACACCCCCAAAATCTTGTCGCCGGTTTGGTGTAGTGGTCAGGAGCGCAAACTCTAATTTGGAGAACCGGGTTCGACTCCCCACTCCTCCACATGAAGGTGCTGCTGGACTCGAATCCGGCTCTTCGACTCCAGACCAGCACGGCTAAATCCCAGAAATGACCCCCGAACCTGTCGGTCTAGAGCAGGTGTCTCCAACATGGTGCCCACGTGGGCCACAGTACCTGCGGGCGATGCTCCCTCTAAGCTGTGGAGTCTTGCGAGCAAAAATTCTACTTTGCGAGCTCCTGGCATTAAAGCTGTGAGCCGGCGATTTGGCTACTGCATACATTAGTTTGCTCTGGAGCCGTCCTTCCTGAGCTAAGACAAAAATGTGCGAGCTGGAGGTTAAAAAACTGTGAGCTGGCTCACGCTAACTCAGCTTAGAGGGAACATTGCCTGCGGGCACCGTCCTTGGTGCCCGTCAAGTGGACAGGGCCGGATGGAAGTTTCGCCTGATTTAGGGAATGCGTTTTTATCCTCCTAGGAGGTGGCGATTGGATTTATACCCCGCCCTTCATTACCCGAAGGAGTCTCAGAGTGGCTTACAAACTCCTTTCCCTTCCCCTCCCCACAACAGACATCCTGTGAGGCGGGTGGGGCTGAGAGAACTCTTGGCAGAAACTGCTCTTTTTCAAGGACAGCTGTGCCAGAGCTTGTGACTGACCCAAGGTCACACCATCAGGTGCAAGTGGAAGAGTGGGGAATCAAACCCGGTTCTCCCAGATTAGAGTCCGCGCACTTAACCACTACTCCAAACTCGAGCGCGAGACAATAGGCATGGTTCTCCTCACCTCAGAGAATCGCGGAATGACAGAGCTGGAAGGGGCCAACACAGGCCATCTAGTCCAGCCCCCTGCTCAATGCAGGATCAGCCTAGAGCAGGGGTGTCAAACTCATTGGTTAGGAGGGCCAGATCTGACATAAATGTCACTTTGTTGGGCCGGGCCAAGGCCATGTGTGCCGTAAACAGGAATACGGCATAAAGGACAGCAGCTGGTAAGCCCCGAGTTGGTGTATCCACACTGCAAGGTGCCATGGGCTGGGAAGGGGGTATGAAGGAAAGCCCATACGGACAGACTAGAGAGCCGGTGGTTGACTGCTACATGTGAGGTTGTTTTGCCAGGCTGAAGCCACAGCTGCAGGGTCTCTGCCCACTCCCCCAGAACAATCTCCTGTTCCCAGTTTGGTGTAGCCATTTTGGTGTAGCGGTTAAGTGCGTGGGACTCTAATCTGGGAGAACCGGGTTTGATTCCCCACTCCTCCACTTGCACCTGGCTGGATGACCTTGGGCAAGCCATCATTCTGACAGGAGCTGTCCTTGAAAAAGAGCATTTTCTGTCAGAGCTCTCTCAGCCCCACCTACCTCACCGGGTGTCTGTTGTGGGGAGGGGAAGGGAAACCGCCCCACCGTACCTCACCCGGGGGAACTGCAATCCCCCCCCGAAATGACCTCTGCCCAGAACAATCTCCTGTTCCCTCCCTTGCACTAGTTGCTCACGGGCCGTATAAGAGCCTTAGACGGGCCTGTTCCGGCCCCCGGGCCTTACGTTTGACACCCCTGGCCTAGAGCATCCTTGACAAGTGTGTGTCCGGCTGCTGCTTGAAGACTGCCAGGGAGGAGGGGGAGCTCAACACCTCTCTAGGCGGCTGATTCCACGGTGGCACAACCCTTACAGTAAAAAAGTTTCCCCTAAGTTCCAACTGTTTTATCCTCTCAACGACCCTGTGGAGTAGGCGAGGCGGAGAGTCTGCATCTTGCTTAACCTCTTCCCGGGCGGAGCAGGGATACGAAGTTGGATCTCCCAGGCCCTAGAACGAATACTCCCATCGCCATTGCACAACACAGCTCTCTTCTCCTCCCTCTCACTTGTTATGCGGGTATAAACTGTCTCTCTAGCAACCCAGGGTCTTATTTGGCTTCAGAGCGCCAGAACAACATGGAAAATAAAGAAGAGAAGAAGGAGGAGGAGGAAGAGGTTGAATTTTACCCTGCCCTTCACTCGGAGTCTCAGAGCGGCTCCCAATCTCCTTTCCCTTCCCCTCCCCACAACAGACACCCTATGAGGTAGGTGGGGCCGAGAGAGCTCTTTCGAGGACTGCCCTTGAGAGAACAGCTCGGAGAGAACTTGTGACTGACCCAAGGTCACACCAGCAGCTGCATGTGGAGGAGTGGGGGAATCAAACCCGGTTCTCCCAGGTTAGAGTCTGCGCTCTTAACCGCTACACCAAACTGGCTACACCAAATGGTTCTGCCTTTGTTCAGAGACGAGACCCATGCACCAGCCTCCACTTGCATGCCATTTACTAGGGTTGCCAACGCCGGGTGGGGAAATTCCTGGAAATTTTTT